ACCGAGTCAGAGCCCACCGAGCCTAACAGTTAGATTTCCGCCACTAGAGTAGTAGGAACAAAGAACTTGAAGGAATTGGACCGTTGTCTCTGTTCATACTATCTTTACATTTATTAATTCTGATGCTTTCATATGCATCTAATTGCCTGTAATTTGAGACTTGTGTAATTAATTTTAAATTATTAAGATCTATACATCTTTATTACAGTTGAGGGTTTGAACCTTGGTAGCGCTTTGGAGGAAATCGTCGTTGGTGTTGAAACTGCTATTCAGCACTTGCCCGAGGCTTCTAAAGTATTTACAAGAGAGGCTTTTAGAAATCAGTTATCAAAAAATATCGTTTCAAGTAAACCATTAAAATCTAACAAGGAGCACAATATTGTCAAGAATTTGCGTAACAAAGATTGTTTCTACCTAAAAGCTGATAAGGGAAATAAGGTTGTTATATTAGATAAAAAAGACTATTACGATAAGGTTAACAACTTAACCGATAATGGCCGCTACATAAATTTGAAAAAGAATCCTTTGTCTAAGATGGTAGCAGACGTTAAAAAAACTCTAAAAGAATGTAACAGCCTTATTGATCTTTCTTTAAAGAGGAAATTGCAAGTATCCAATCCCTCATTACCAAAATTGTATGCTTTGCCAAAAATTCATACACCGGACAAGTCTATGCGCCCAATTGTTTCGGCTGTAGGTTCTCCGACTTATAATTTGGCAAAATGGTTATCAAGGGAGTTCGAAAATTTACCTAATCATGAACCTTCTTTCTCAGTTAAAAATAATATTGAATTCATTAACAAAATTAAAGATATAACATTGCATGAAGGTGAAATTTTGGTATCCTTTGATGTATCTTCGTTGTTCCCAAGTGTTCCAATTCCACATACTTTAGGCTACTTGAAGGAGTTACTGAACGCAAATGGTCTCGACAACAAAACTGTGATTGAATATATTGAGCTTACATCGTTATGTATGAAACAAAATTGTTTTCAATTTAATAACAACTTTTTTGAACAGCGGGAAGGTACAGTAATGGGTAATCCATTTTTGGCTAATTTATTCATGAGCAGGTTTGAAGTGGAGGCTAAGAATCAGTTTGAGTATTTTCCAAGAGTATGGTTTAGGTATGTGGATGATATTTTTGCTGTTTTTGACACTCATTCAGACACCATAGATAATTTTATTTCTAAATTAAATAATCGTTTTCCTTCCATTAAATTTATGCATGAAATTGAGAACAACGACAGATTACCATTTCTAGATGTATTAGTTATTAGAAATACTAATAATTGCCTGGAATTTGATATCTATAGGAAAAATACCACCACACGCAGATATATTCCTAATGAATCACATCATAGTGTTGAACATAAAATGGCTAGTTTAAATTTCTTAGTTCATAGGTTACTTAGTTTCCCACTTTCCAACGAAAGATATGAAATAGAAAGAGATTACATTAGGAATGTAGGTGAGTGCAATGGTTATTCTCCTTCACTAGTTGATAAATTAATTAGAAAACGTAGGTATAGGTTAATGATTTCTGAAAATTCGACTTTTCAAGTGGAGAAAGATACGTCTAAATATTTTTCAATACCGTTTGATAGAGAGTTATCCCGTGGTCTAAAAGGAATTTTTAAGAATGTCAATTATAAACTTGTGTATAGTGCTAATAATAAATTACAACAATTATTAGGTAATCCAAAGGATAAAACACCTCCACTGGAAAGGTCAGGTATTTATGAAATTTCTTGTAAAAAATTTCTTGTTCAGCAACGCAAAATTTATCCGGTCTAAGACATCTTATATGAGCTAAATGTTCTTTAAATCTAGTTAATATTGATCTTCTAGTTTACCCAACATATTTCTGATTATAATCTTTACAGGAAATATCATAAATACCCGACCTTTCCAGTGGAGGTGTTTGCTGAGATTCTGCTAATCGCTTGGTATTTGCGACTGATATCGATTGCTACCTTCGACTCTCAAAATGTAGTCATTATTTTTTTAAATTTTCAAAGTTAAATAACTCGTTTATTATCAATTTATTTTAAAAATGGCAAAGAGATAATATGTTTCTTTTGGACCAGAAGATATTTGCACTTATTTCTGGGACACCCTGTATAAAAACATATGCGTTTTGCATACGGGATCTAAGGATCAAACTTAATGCTGAACAAAAAGAAAATGTTATATTAGTATCCAGATCAGACAAAAAAACAATTTTACAATGTTGAGATTGCAGGAATAGATAAATTATTTATTATCCGATGTTAACGAATACAAGAAAAACTAAAAAGCTTGTAAACAGAGAGTCAATTAACTTGGAAATGGCTGTAAACGAAGAAGAATAAAAAGTATGGTTAACATAAGAGTTCCAATTAGCTCTGTTGTAAATCCTGATTCATTTCTACGTTGTAAATTGAAATATGAAAGATAATAATTTAATAACAGTAGATAATAGTACTATAATAAGAAGACCTTGTCTATAAAATCCGCATTACATGTTATTTTTAAGTGGGATTAATTTTATATTTCTCGCAACTCTTTTGATGGACTTTTAATTCATTTAATACCTCAATTTTTTTGGCATTCTTTGACTCGTAACAATGGCTTCAATTAATTAACACCAGAAATAAATACATACATAATCATTGTGAATATTTGTTAGGAGATTTATTGTCAGAACTAATTAGGTATACCTACATTTTTTTATCTGCAAAATGCCGAGCAGTCAACATTTAACTCTTTGGTTAGCTACTAGAGTTGCCCACAGAAAATTGCAATTAACGAAACTAAAAATTAATCTGTAATTAACTAGCTAAACAAGTATTGAAAATCTTTTCTAATTTTTTTTTCTGAATCGGAGTATGGCTCAAACGTATAGATTTAATGTCGACTATACAGGGTGAGTTTGCTACGATGTTCTCTATGGGTATCTCGGAAACTACTATAGATAGAGAGTCGGTTAAATGAGGAATGAATTGCAATTTTTTGGGGTCATAAACATACGCCTTTCAGATTTTTGAAAAAGTTCATGGCTTATTAGATATTTCGAAAAAAACAAATTTCGGCTATTTGAAAAATTGTCGCTAATTCCATTATAATCTATTTTAGCCAAAAAGTTTTCAGATAAAAGTTGTAGATAATCACATCCTTAATAAGGCTGTATCCTCTATTTTTTTCTAAAGCCTGTCATTTTTGACATATGACACAAACATATGTTTTTTTAAATGGAAACCATAGTTGGCCATGACTTCGTAAAAAGCGCCATTTTTTATGCTTTTCAGCGATATAAGCTATAATATGTTTCTTTCACAAAATTACTGAGTTATAGCCAATTCTTATCATTGTAAAAAATTTCACTTAGTTAGCCATGGAAACAAGTTCAATCGTTGTTGCTCTCAGTAATGTGAAACTATCACATTCAAACTTTGTAAATTAAAATAAACAAAAATTGTAGATATGAATTTTCCAAATGAAGAAAAGTGTGTAGGATTATATTGGTTCAACTTTTCTTGGCCATACATTTTCGAGGATACGTTGACCGGTGAACGTTATTTACGTTTTTTAGAAAAGTTAAATTTAGATACTTGCGCATCAATAGAGGTTTTAACATGAGTTTCATTATGACACTCCCCCTCATAATGAAAGAAATGTTAAAAATAATTTATATCATAATTATGCAAACTCAGGGATAGGAAGAGGTTGATCAATTGCATGAGCCTCCTCGACAGCTGATCTATCCATTTTAGATTTTTTATGCGGTATGGTTAACAACAAGGTTTACAAAAGAACATGGATTAAGATAGGTACTCGAAAAGGCGGTACGGGAGAAGTTTATTAAAATCCACCGGTCCCGTTCTGTGGGAAAAACTTGTAGTTCAGTTTTAAAAGATACATTTTATGTACTAAAAACAATGGCGTTTTTTTTAAGATTTGCTATAGCTTAAAGTGTATGTAGTATTATTATTTTTTTAAGCTTTAGTTTGTGTAATGTAAATTGTAAAGGACCGTTTAATAAAATATTCTGTCTTATAAGTTATAAATCATAACATAATAAGAATACCATACCAACTAAGTGAAATTAGTCAATAAAGATAATAATTAGCTATAATTCAGTAATTTTTCGAAAATAAACATATTATAGCTTATATCGCTGAAAAGCTTAAAAAATGGCGCTTTTTATGAAGTCATGGCAAACTATGGTTTCCATTTAAAAAACATATCTTTGTGTCATATGTCAAAAATGACAGGCCTTAGAAAAAATCGGAGTACTTATTAGGATGTGATTATCTACAACTTTTATCTGAAAATTTTTTGTCTAATGTAGATTAATGGAATTAGGTACAACTTTTAAAATAGCCGAAATTTGTTTTTTTTTTCAAAATATCTAGTAAGCCATAAACTTTTTCAAAAATCGGAAAGGCGCATATTTATGACCCCACAAAACTGCAATTCTTTTCCCATTTAACCGACTCTATCTCCAGTAGTTTCCGAGATACCCATAGAGAACATCGTAGGAAACTCACCTTGTATAACACATAGTGATAACAGTTCAAATGTCATAATTCTGTTGATCAAAAAATATTTAATTATAAAATAATAATAGTGTGTACCTATAATTTCCAAAGTATTTCCACTGTGGCTATAATTAAAAGTGTATTTATGATCGAAGTCCCTGATACATATAATTCGTTCACATTCTCTGATGTATAATTTATAAAAAAATATCTAAAAGGTGTTTAAATAATACCATAGGAATATTGTAACTTTCACAATTAATAGGTACATTTTCCAGCGTTGTAATTAGATAGTCTATTTAAAAAATGCTTTAAAAACATATTTTTTTTTTATTTATTTTAGTACTTTTAACTTATTAGTGCGTATTTTCCTTGGAGGTTAATTAACGACTTAATGGAAAAAAAACAAAAATAATAACATGATTTTTAATATATTATTTACGTCATTATTTTAATTTATAAAAAATATCCTCCTACCTTTAATAGTGCGTTGCCTTGGAGTGATTGTCCCACAATTATTTAGAATCTGAAACAAAAATATAATCATTAATAACTCGTACAGTTATTAAGAGCTTGATAGTTTAAAAATGAAATGAGTTAAAAAATTATTTTGTTAAATATATAGTAAAAATTCACCTATATTTAACAGGCTCCTCAATGGTACCTCTACAATATCTAGCTTATAATTTTGTAGTAGCGAGACACCTTCTGGTATATTTGTAAGCCCAATGAGGACGCCCAGTAATAACTAACATCATACAAGTACCACGAGTGCTTTTGAGTAGTTTTAAGGTTAAGTAGTAACTGAGACTAGTTTTAAGCAGACAAAAATAATGGAGTTTATTAATATAAAAATACAGGGTCTCATACACCGCGGAGGCTCCAAGGAGAACGATAGTTTGTATTGAAATGAAATTTTGTGAGCATACGTAGTTTAGTTCAGAGCACTTTTTAAAAATATAGAGTTCTACAGGGTGTCCCTAAAAAAGTTACATATCAAGATTCTGTTTTTTGTAATGGAGCACCCTATATATTAACTGATTTTCGGATTCTGGAAGAAAAATAAAGGTGAGTTATATAAAAGAAGTATATATGACTAAAATGTAAGGCTTTTGACATGATTAACATTTTCTAGAAATAAATAATTTTTAGATTACAATAAAAGCTACCTAAATTTGAATTTATCCGGTTTTATTGTTTTGTTATCGTTATAATGTTTTTCGTTCGTAGTTTTTAATTATTAATATTAAGTTTGATCGTATATATGTGTTTTAAAATGAATAAATTTGTTAAGGGTAAGACGCTACATAGCCAGACAAGAGAAATAGTAGCTAATTTATATAGGTAAGTAGAATAATAATAATATATGTAATTATTAAAATATTAAAATTAAATATTGGCTAAAATGAAAAGCACGCATTTTACCTAAATATTTTAGCTAAACTAAAATAAATATAAATAAACGTGGATGAAATCTCATTTGGTTTATTTCCTTGTGTTCATAATAGGGTTTGCGACGAAGAAGCTACAGAGAGTTGGCTTACGTTGCCGCTTAAACGTAAACTTGAGCGGATATCTCTTTATACCGGAGTTAGCGCATCGGCGATAAAAAAATTCACACAGAAGATAAAAAAAGGCTAGAAACTAACCCCGATAAAATGATATCCAGCCCTGGAAAGAAACGCCCACGTGAGACTGCTGTTGAAAAGCTCGACGACTTTGATTTCCAAGTGGTCAGGGATTTGATAAATAGAATTTATCTGGAATTCAAAGTCGTCCCCACAATTAGAAAGCTTTTGCAAAAATTGCAGGAAGAATCAAATTTTCCTTTGGCAGGGAAACGCTTAGGGGGTTATTAAAATCAAATGGATTTTTTTGGCGTAAATGTCAAAATAACAGATAAATATTAATGGATCGGCCCATTATATTGCAGAGAGAGATACAAATATATACGCGAAATTCGAAAATATCGCCAAGTATTATCTATTTGGATGAAACATGGGTAGACGCTTAGGGGGTTATTAACCTAACCTTTAAAAAGTTCTGGCGGAGCGATACCATATCTGGTGTAATAGGCAATATTGGATTTACTGGTGAGTAAAATTTTGTTTTGTTTGCGCTTCCAAAGTTTTACTAACTATTTTCAAGGTTTTTTTTTGCTGGAAATAGTTATATCTAAAATTATGTATATGTATTATAGAAAAAATATAGCTAGTATAGATATATAAATAAATATACCTCAAGACTCAGTCTTGATTATCTGCTGATGATGCTAACATGGTTAGCGAAACGGGCGTCTAGTGTAAAAGTAAAAGTGTTTTGGTGTATTGTGCTGATTTAGTGCTTTATTTTGCTGGTTCCAACCCCCAGCTGAAATTATGTCTTCTATTATATCTATTAACAACACATAATAATAAAATGATTCAAAATATTTAAGGGAGTTTTAATAAAAGCTTTTAGTGTTTATCTGCTAACTCAGCAGTAACGATTCAAACAGCATAAAGTTTTTTGAAAAAAATTATTAATCTGAATATTATATTTATGATACACATTATTTTTATAAAACACCGTACGCCCATGCCTATTTTATGAATGAAATTGGGCGTGTTTTGTTTACAACTGCGTTCCCCTGCCGATACCCCGTAGCTTCAGATCCGTTGGTCACACTATACATATGCTGCCAAAATTTCATTTCGATATAAACTACCGTTCTCCTTGGAGCTTCCGCGGCGTATGAGAGGCGCCACCCTGTATGTTTGTAGATTGAAAATTGTATGGGAGGGGGGAAGATAATCACCGTGACCTTATAGACCTCTATTGTGTCCCTCTTCCTTGAGTCCTCAGGGCTTTGAGAAAATCCAGTATCTGAGACGGTTCTACGTTCTACAGAAGTTAGTTCTCCATCTCCGATATCAGTAGTACCAAAGTTTATGACACCAATGGTTATCGTCTCGGCGCACTCAGTGATGAGATGTTCTGATAATTACCGATTTTCCCCACAGGGGAAAAATTAACTTAGAAAAATATTTATTTACAAATTGGTTGTAGAAAAAAAATATAGTAAAATATTGTTACGGATTCCGTGGGTCCACTATTTAAACTCACGATAAAATACTTAACGAATTTATTTGTTTCACTCTGTACACACAACTTATACTATTTACAACACAACTTATGCAACTACTATTACTCTAACGGTATTTCGCGGTATTTTCAAACTTCAGACTTTCTTCAGACTGCAAACTTCAAACTTTAAACTTGTCCAACTGTCAAAGCGCGGGCCTTATATACCCCCTGGCGGTTGTTTCTAGATTTTTCTAAAGAATTCTATAATTTTCTTTACTTTCTGGCGAATGCGCCAGTTGCGATTTTTTAGCAGTATGCAGTTATGCAACCAGTAATACACCTTGACATTGCCCCCTTCTCAAATTTGATGGTCCCGATCAAGGTTTCCTGTCTGGTATCTCTTCAATCGATCCAGATGAACTACTTTCATCTTACTTCTAGGACTGCGTTGAATCCGGTACACAACATCATTTATCCTCTTGATGACTGTATAAGGACCTTCCCATGCTGGAGTTAACTTTGGGGACCTTCCTTTCTTGCGCTGTGGGTTATACAACCATACCCTATCGTCCTGTCGAAATCCCGTAGAATTAGCTCTGAGGTCGTAACGAGCTTTCATCCGGTCACTGGCTAGCGTAATCTTACTTCTCACGGCCTTATGAATTCCCAATAACCTTTCCTTCAGTTCATCCGCGTAGTCCTCTACGTTCGTGGTGCTGTCGTCTGGTAATCCGAACACCAAGTCACAAGGCAACCGTAATTCTCGACCAAATAAAATCTTCGATGGTGAAAGTCCGGTGGTGTTGTGAACTGCACTTCTATATGCCATTAGGAATAGTGGTATATGCTGATCCCAATCTCTTTGATGTTCATCCACCATTTTCGAGAGATGTTCTTCAATGGTCTTATTGAATCTCTCGACCATCCCATCAGACTGCGGATGTAAAGCTGTTGTCCTAGTCTTGTGAATACCAAGCAGATCACACATCTTCTGGAACAGTCTTGACTCGAAGTTCCTTCCTTGGTCAGTGTGAAGCTCTAAAGGAATTCCAAATCTACTGTAATACTTCAGCTACAGTCGATGCTTCTTGGTTTGGAATGGTACGACTAAGCCTAGTGGTACGACTAAGCCTAGTGGTACGACAAACTGTTGTCTGAATCGTACCATTTGAAACGCTTTTAAAAAATTGATATTTCATTTGAAATAATGCTAATAAAAATTTCAAAAAGTATATCTATAAGATTTGGAAGAGATTAAACTAAAAGAATCACAACTACCCATTGAGAAAAATCTGGTATTTTTTAACTTGCAAAAGGTTTAGACTACTCTCTCCTAATATCTTTACCCCAATTAATTATTCACAATCGTGTATATTTTCTCTGCCCGTTTTCATGAATAAATCTATAATCCAATTTGCAGGTGTCGCCAGTTGTAAGAATGACTAAAATTCAATTTCCAAGATAGATTAACCGTAATAAAACAAAGAAAGATTCCAATTTTATTCGACCATATTTCAGTGAAATGACAGAAAGAAAATAGAGAAAGTGGAAAATGACCCATAAAGATAAATAATGTTTAAACATAAACTTCAACGAAATAAGCAAAAATTGCCATAGCGTAAAAATATTACATTTTTATAAATTAAGTTTTAGAAAGGAAAAAATAAATATTTTTATCAGATATTATATATGTGCTTAACTGTTATTTTAATGATTTGTGAAAGTTTTTGTTGAAAGTTGTTAAATTATTTGAATGATAGCTTTTCCAGTTTTATTGTTTTTCATCAATGGTACTGTTAAATCAGGGTTTAAAAAATTGTATTATTGTACCGTAGCACTTTTTAGGAAAAAAAATTGTCTTTGCAATATTTCTAATAAATGGTAATGTTTACTAAGTCTCATAATAAAATTGCAAGTCAGAATAGAATATTTAAGCCGTTATTTTTAAGATAAATATATGCATTAAGAAGTTCTTCTACTTTCTTGGGAATCTATTTTAGTATTTGTTTATAAGCCTGTATTCTGACATCCTTTGTACATGCAACAAATACCATATCAACTATTTGGTTGCCATATCATCGAGAATCCTAGATTTACCTCCCATTTTTCCCGTATTCATTCGTTCTTGACTATTTCTCATCATAATTTTCCAGCGGCTCTTGTGTAAATCGACTAAATGTTAAAACATACCTGAAAACACCTACACACAATACCTCCAGAAATAAATTATTTGTCATTGTCAGTGGTTTGTCAGTTAGATTATATATCAAGTTTTTAGATATTTTAGGGATCAGTTCATACAGCCAGCTTTAGATACATATATATTAGAATAAAGGTTCGTTTAAACGACATTAGTGAATTAGCTACACAAAGCGATTTTAGTTTTAATTCATCCTCTTAGAGAGTAAAATTATGTCGGAACAATTTGTTGTATGAAAATTCCTTACTATGTGGTCTAGA